ACATTAAATTCACATCTTGAAAATGTCACTTTGATGGTAGTATACTAGGCTACCTAAAGATGGAATGGGGCAACCAATTAGGAAACAATTGTACCAATAAGAAATAAACAGAGACCATTTTAATATTGGTAGTGGAAAGAGAAAGAAATGGACAGGCCTTAGATGAACCTATTGTAGCTGGATAGTTACAGAGGGTAGGAAAACGGGATGTGGTAAAAAGACAAGAAAAAGCAAATATGGAATAGGGGCTATACACTTTATTAAACTGGGTTTTTATAACTAATCAGGTATTTTCATTGATTTGCCAGGACAGTTTACAGGTAGTTTAAAGAACAAATTCATGTTTTTACTATTCCAGTGGCAGAATACTTAAGTAAATGACACTTTGTGGTGAAATCTGGTGAGCTTCTCTTCTTCAATTTATATGCACTTAATAAAGTCATAGCTAGTGCCTTATTGGAATTAGAAGAAGGTTAGTCTAGGACTATAGATGAATAATTAAATTGGACCAGGAACAGCAATGAGTAACTGTCTTTTAAAATCTTAAGTTGGGAAAATATCAGAATATGGGTACAGAATGATCACTATAGAAGGAGTGCTTTTTATTTAAAGGGATAAGAAAACTTTTGCAATGGAATATATGAATAGAGAAAAAAAGGTAACTTAGAAATGAATAAAAATAAAGTAGCTTTAAACTTTGTTCTAAGTCTGAATGCTGGAGCATAATGGAAACAATATTAAAAGACAATTGAATAAGAAAAGGAGTTAAGAATCTTGTTCCTAGGGGCTGGAGAGATGACTCAGCAGTTAGGAGCACTGAGCGCGCTCTGGCAGTGGACCTAGGTTTGATTCCCAACCATCTCTAACTCCAGTTCCAGGGGACCTAACATTCCTCTTCGGACTTCAGTGGGCATTGTATGACACAAGTGCACTTGCATACATGCAGGCAATACACTCATACACATAAAATGAATAATAAATAAGATAATATTTTTAAAAAGAATTTTGTCCCTAGCCCGGTTTTATAGAAATATACAAGCTTAGTTTATGAAGACTCAATAAGTGCACCATCAAATGCCCCTATTTAAAGGTTGCCAGCCACTGAAAACGTGGTGTTAAGTATTCACACACATTAAAGAAGTCATATGTAAATAATTGTTTGACTTCATAAAGGAATGAATATAACAAAATGTTTAAAAATGAGTTTGAGTCTATAATCCCAAATTTCACCAACCTGACATTTGCATGACAGCTTTGTGTGCCAGAGGCAACTGGAAGACCTCCAGGCTTATGCAACACAAACTTTGAAATTATTCACTGAAAGGTCATATGTCTGTACAGCCTGGAATAAAGGTTGAGTGTCTTCATTTGCTTTACTACAGCACAAGGGAGCAAGCGCTTCCCAAATCGAGCCTTCTCTATTTCTTTCTTTCTCTCTCAGTTCTGTCTTGTGCCTCAGCAACCCAGGATTTCCTTCCCTGTAGTCTTAGTCATCTCTGGTCTTTTAACTTCTACTTCACCACTTACCCTTCTGATTTTTGAAAATTGAACTCTCACCCAGACAGTCATGATTCCACTGCAGACATTTCTTTATGAGGAGGACAGTGATGACCTCTGTGAATCTTAAATGAAGCTAAGATTAAATGACTCATTACCAATTTATAGACGTGTATTTACAAAACTTAGTACAATAAAGGTTCCATGTCATGTGAACAAAGAAGCAGTGATACTTCAGTGAGTAGTGCTCCAAATACATTGCCTGTCAAAGCTGAAGTGTACACTTTCAATGTGTCTGCTTCGTGCTATACCAGGAAAGTTGTGCTCACGAGTTTGATAGTTTATTAATTAGAAGAAAAATACAGACCCTGTGCCTAATTACATAAGAAAGTAATGAAATGGGCATGCATGGTAGCATAGGCACTTAGGAGGCAGAGGCAGGAGGATCATGAGTTTGAGGCCAACCTGGAATACTTAGAGAGATTCTGTCTCAAAATATCAGTCAGTACATTAACCGTAATAAGTCATAAAACAAGCACAAGAAGGAAAAGGAGATGGGTACACATGATTTGGGTGTGGGAGAAGGACTTCCTAGAGGCAAACCCCAGACAGTGTTCACTAAAAAAACTACATGATATTTTAGCATCAGTCCCTTCTTCAACCTTCCCCCACCTTAGAATCCCAGTCCTCTTTTCTACCCCACCAGGTAAGCTGTGCCCAAACTCCTCAGAAAAGGAATGTATTTCCAAAGTCATTGCATGCTAATACAAAGTATGTGGACATCTGTACAACATGGTAATCTTTTTCCTGATCATTGTTTCACAAAAATTAAGATTGATCTTTTGCATTTATTTTCTTAATCCCTACTATACTTTCAGAAATTCCTACCAAGTCTTGTGATGCAGCTTTAATTCAATTATTTTGCTGACTGTATAGTGGCCAGGTTTTTATATCACTTATTTTCAGCAATTCCAGATTAATAGGCATTCAGTTTGCCTTCAGTTCTAAATGATTACGAACAATGCTGCAGTTACCATCCTTGTACATACTTCCTAAGAACCCATCCTTTTGTGTCTATACAATAAATGTTTAAAAATACAGTTGCTACTTCTAAAAGCTGGTGAGTTTTATTTATTTCTAGTTCTATTAAATATCCTCAGGCTTTTCCAGAAAGGCTGTGTGTCATTCATAATTAAGTGAGAAGTCATCTGTGTTTAGGTTTTTCTTTATGAATTTGTTTGTTTGTTTGTTTGTTTGTTTATTGAGGTTCTGGAGTTTGAACCCAGGACAATATGCAGGCAAGGCAAGTAAGTGTTCTACCACTGAGATAAAGTCCCAGCCCTGTTTTCTGTTTTTTAATTCATAGATGTCTTTATTTCTTATAGAATCTATTCGGATCCTATTGTCCTATTTCTTCTTGAGGAAGCTTTGGCAATTGTGTCTTTCTTGAACTTTAAAGTTTTTTTTCTTTTTTAAGATATTTCATTTGTTGGCATATAGTTCCACAGATTGTGGGGAAGGATTATGCACATTAGTACAGTGCCTGCAGAGGTCAGAAGAGGGTTTGGATTCTCTGGAACTTGAGTTACAGACAGTTATGAGCTGTCCAATGTGTGTCCTAGGAACTGGACTCAGGTCCTCTGCAAGAACAGTGTGCCCTGTGACCCGCTAAGCCGTCTCTCCAGCCCCCTTGTTTTAGAATTCTTCTTTTTTGTCTCTGTGATTGGTTCTTTTCTTTTTTTCTTGATCGGCATGACTGAAAGTTAGCCAGCTTTGTTATTTTCTCTCAAAACATGTTCTGATAACATCAATTTCTTTTATCTTTAATCCTCTGGTTATTTAGTAATGTGTTGTTTAATTTGTACCTATTTTAATATCCTCATTTTTTTTCTTGCTACTGACTTCTAACTTCATTCTCTTTTGGTTGTAGACTTTATCTTGTATATATTTATCCTTTGACTTTTAGTAAGATTTATTTTATAGCCCAATGTCATCTGCTTTGAATTTTTTTTATGCGCTTGAGAAGAATGTATGTTGTTTTGTTGGGTGGTGTGTTTTGTAGATGTCTGTTAATTGAATTAATGTTTGAAACCTGCATTGTCTTATTGATCCTCCATTCATTTGTCCTGTACACTGTTGAAATTGAGATATTGAAGTCTCTATTGTTGAATTGACTGTTTTACCTAATTTTGGTCAGTTTTTGTCTTACATATTTTGGAGCCCTGACATGGTATCTGTCATCTGTAAGTTTCCAGCTTCTTGCTGTATTGGCGTAATGGCCTCCTAGACCACCAATGGAGGCAGTGCCACAGAATTCTAGGACAGAGCTTTTACCCAATCCCTTTACTTAGGAACTTACCTCAAGGAACTAATAGTCATAATTTGTTCATTAAATAATTGCTCAGTATCCCCTGTGTGCCAGAAAGTGCTTGCCACCCCAAATAAAACAACAGAAAACAGACGCAGATGTAAAAACTGAACTTTCTGTTCATTTGGTTAGCCAAACAACAAAGTAAATGAGTAAAATATAAAGTCTATTAGAATGTGGTGCTTGGACACAGAAAGGGAAGTGGGAAAGAGAATAAAAGTGCATTGGGGTAGAGCTGTATCAGGGCTCTTTGAGCCATCTTTAATTTCCATGAATTGCTAGAAGAAATATAATGATGTTGAGAGTAATTGTTTTAGGAAAATTGATGTTTTTCTTTGAGTTTTATGTGGTTTCAGTAATGACCTTTTAGAAATAGAGAACTATAATTGTGAAGTTATTTTAGGTTATGAAAAGTCTTTGATAATATAAATTTCTAAAGCAGAGCATGGTGGCAGAACCTTTAGACCCAGCACTTGGAAGGCAAAGCAGATAGAGCTCTGTGAGATCAAGGCCAGCCTGATGTGCATAGTGGGCTCCCGGCCAGCCAGGAGCAAAAGCAAAACAAGATTTCTTGATAGGTTTTCTAGAGATTGGTCAGTCATTTGGACATTAAACATGCATATATGTTTTTTTAGAAGAAATATGAATGAATTTATTAGCATAGAATTTAATGCTGCAGCCTCTGATACTTGAGTGAAAATGTGATATTTACTTTTCTCAAATGTTCCTATTTTAATATGTGTATTCATTTAGAATACTGAAATTCTAATTGCTTATCTGAAGTAAACATTGGATAAGACTACATTTTCTCTTAGTAGGATTTATTACATAATGTTGATAGTAGGTTATTTGTTTTATTTGCTGTTTGACAATGTGTTTCAAACGGTAATTTTACTTGATCATTATAAAAATATCTGATATCACACTAAACATTTCTTTGAAAATTGCTTTAAAATGTTCCATGGTAGATTTCATTGTATTTCATTTCTGTATAAAGTTGGATGTCTGAATTTACAGTCACTTACTTTGTCTAATGGTGGATTTCATTGTATTTCACTTTCGTTTTATAAACTATCAATATAAGAATTTAAAGTAACTTAGAATTTAGAATTTAATGCAGGAAAATATATTTTAGGAAAACAGTTAAAGGATGGGAAGAAGCCCGAGCCCTGCAAACCTATCCTCAAGGTGGAATTCAAGACAACTAGATCTGGGTAAGACTTTACCTCCTTACCAGTTTTCATTGTCACAGAGCAGCTCACGTGGCAGGGAAAGCTCTCATGTTCATTTGAAGACCCACTTTAGAGGAGGCTAGCCTTGTCTTCAGTTTTATGCTTTCATTGTTTAATAAAATACAGACTTAGAATAAATTATCTGTTCTTCCTGTTTCTAATAGTTTTATTCTGCATATTGGAAAGTGAATTATTTTTAGTAATAAATTTTAATACATTCTGTTGGCCTTTGGAAACACTAGTTTTTATTTGCTATTAAAAAGTGAGGAAAAAGCAGTAGAGGAAAACATGTAAAATGTAATCTCTCTAATTTGTGTTAAGAAAATGTTATATTTTCAGATATAAATTTCATAAGCATATTTGACAGTTACAAAAATGAATGTAACTTATTTTTTAAAGGTTGTCAGTTACATTTCAACACAGAAGAGCATATATTAGGTATGGGAATTAGGTAATTCTTATAATTGAAAAGTTTTTATTTTTTGTATGTATCAAGTGCTATAAAGTATAAAGTGTGAATGAAAAAAATCTTTTAAAGTGTTTCTTTGAAAATTCCACCTCTCTTTAACTACAAAGGAACCTTTTTATTTTTGTTCTAGTCCCCTAGAAGTATGCAGTTATATTTAGTAGAAGCATCTAAAGGATGAGAATCTCTATAGTATAGTGCAGTGGTTCTGATTGTGTTGCCTGGACCAACAACGACATTCACTGAGATCTTGTTAGAAGTGCACATTCCTAGATTCCACTCAAATCTATTGAATAAGAAAATGTGCAGTGGGACTTAGCAGTTCGTTTTGACTCAGGCTGCAGGTAATTCTGATGCCATTGAGGTTTACCAGCTTATAACATGCTACTGAGGTTTTACATCTACCAGTTTACAACATGGACATTAGAACTGTCTCTTTTCCATTTGTAAGCTGATCTCCTAATCTAATTCACCCCTGTCCTGTTCTCTTTTAAGAAAAGGCACCTGTCTTAAAAAAATTAAAAAGCTAAGATTTCTTCCTTCATCCTTCCTAGCTTTCCTGTGAGATCCAGCAGATATGTGCTGTTGGAGTTTATGCAGCAACAGACATAGGTTGAATGAACTCCAGGAGGCAGAACATCTGGTTGACTATGGAATCCTTTGCTATGTAACTTTTGTATAGAACTGTTTGACTTTGTGCAGTGCTGTCATTTATACATACATAGTCGGTAGGTGGTTGTGATGGATTAAGTGGCATGATCATATAGATACAGATTTTATATATTGCCTGGTACATAATAAACTGTAAGTGACTTAGATTGTATTAGAAAATCCTCAGCCATCAGTTCATTATTATTTGTTACATTTGCCCTATCACAAAGAAATTAAAGTAGGAAAAAAGAATAGCAAAGGATAAAAGAAAAGGGAAAGGAAACAAGCCAGAAAAAACTCCATGTTTATATTCAACACAGAATGAATTTTTAAATTAATAGTTCTAAATGCCTTCCGAACCCTTACATACCCATTTTATCAAATATTGATTGTGAACAAAGGAGAAAGCCTAGGACTTGTTTTCCACATGATTCGGTCTTCACTTTTAGATAATGATAATGTTTTTAAGTTCCAGGTCTCTTCAAAATAGCAGCAATACTTTGCCTGTCTTAAATTTGAAATGAAAATTGTAAAAAATGCTTTGCTCTTCGGTAGGTATCTATAGATACTATTTAATATGATCAATAAGATCACCTTGTAATAGTCTCCTCCAGTGTCTCTTTTTATCTGGGGTAGGAAAGTCAGTATATTAAATACGTTCCTATTTTCTTTTGTCCTTCCTGGATTAACTCCACTGTCTAATATTAAAGTTGAGTATTGTATTCAGCCCCTTCCTATCTAAAGTACAATCACTCAGTTAAATAAGCTAGACAGTTCTATTTTCTCTTCCTTACATGTCTGTTGTATTATTTCCTATCACCAAACTAGCAGATTTTAGAGAAGAGCCATCCCCTCCCGTGTCCGGCCATGTACATTTTCTTCTTTTTGCCGAGAAATCATTGTACAAGTGAAGATCCCTCTTATTCCTTCTAGCTCAGCACAAATGCTTTTCTCTTACGGATATCTGTGCCTCCTTGGCTACCTTAGGGTCTCCAGTAATATGCCTTGAAGTGATACAGTTTTCCTCTCTAGGACTGACACATATCATCAATGATAGGCATGCTTCCCCCATTAAATACTGCCTCACTAATAAAGCTTTATTTTATTTTTATTTTATTTATTTTGGTGTTAGGGATGGAACCCTGGCCCTGAGCATTCTAGGCACCTGCTCTGCTGCTGAGGTATTATATCCCCAGCCTCTGTCTTACTTTTGATGTTCAGCAACTAGCATGGCGTTGCTGAATTAGGATATAAATGTAGGTAGGTGTGTATAAAGTGTACATATAAATGAAATATAAACATTGCAGAGCTTTTATTTTCTGATAAAATAATACAAATAAATTATATATTAGATCTGGAAAGGACATATTTTCCCTTCAGTGGAATGATAGTATAAATTAAGAGATAATTGATTTTATTAGTCAATTTAAGATATGGTATTGGGCAGGGCGTGGTGGCACACGCCTTTAATCCCAGCACTTGGGAGACAGAGGCAGGTGGATCTCTGTGAGTTAGAGGTCAGCCTGGTCTATATAGTGAGTTCCAGGTCAGCTGAGGCTACAGGGAGACCCTGTCTCAAAAAGACAAAAAAAAAAAAAAAAAGGTATGGTATTAATTCCTTAAATGGCTAGTTCTTATTAAACATAGTCAGAAGTTAGGGGCTGGAGAGATGGCTCAACAGTTAAGAAAGCTTCAAAATGGACAAAAATTCAATAAAGGTAATATATTATTTTTTTAAAAAAGGCTTTTTGCTCTCTCCAGGGACCTGGATTTGGTTCCCAACACCTACACAGGTCAGCTAACAGCCACCTATAATTCCTACTCTGGGAGATTGGACACCCTTTTCTGGACTCTGAGGGCACCCACACAAACACAGTATAAGCTTAATACCAACACATACATGAATAAAAGTATAACTTTTGAAGAGCTAGCAGTGAAGTGCTGTCAGATCTGCTGAAATTGTTTCTATGAGAAATGAATGTGACCCAGGTATGGAGTATGGTGGTTGCTGCCTGTCCATCAGCAGACTTTCCAGGTCTGCATCCTGCCTGTGCTGTTCTCAGTGTGCAGGCAGGGTACCAGCTAAACTTCCTGTTCTGTTTCATCATCTTAAAACAGGAATAATAGTCATAGCCATCTCATAGAATTGTTGGTAAAATTCAGAGGCTGTTGAAGCATGCTCTCTCACAGCTGTCTCACATAGTAGTTGTCCTCAGATAGCATTTGATTGCTTCTGACAAATGTCCAAAATGCAGCTATTCTCTTAGTTTTCCTAAAACAGCTGTAGAAGTGCAACTTTGCTGAGACTTTATAATAACTAAAAATCTTAATATTCCTTCCTAGATTAAAAATCATAAACACTGATTTACTGCAGTGATTTTTTGAAAAAAAAAGTCTTAGATGTCAGATAATGGTGAGCCATTTTTTGGCTGTGAAAATAATTGTGTTGGTTGTGACCATCAGAATTTAGCCGGTAAAGTTAGATTTTAGCTGGTAAAGTCCAGTAGGAAGTAGCAGAGCACAGTTCACATTCAAGGGCAAATATCAGTTCCTAAAACTGGTTCTTTTAAATGTTTATATATAGAATCACAAAGAAAACTACACTTCTCATGAGGATGGGACATGATAAAAAACAAACAAACAAAAAACCCCAAAGCCTATGAATTGGTGTAAGTAGTTGAGACTTTAGATTGCTAGTTCATTTGAAATCTAGCTCTGTGTCTTTCAGACCTCTCCCAGCTTTTTGGTTTTTAAATCACTCCTTTTGAGGGAAGAACATATGATAGTTTTCTATAATCCCACATGGCTAGAAAGTGGTCTTCTAGATTGATAGTTGGCTTTTGACAATAGAGCACTTCCTTTAGTAGTTATTTAAATATAATATGTGCCCAAGATTGGGTGTTGTCCCCAACATCTGTTTCAAGTGTTAAGTTCCTCTACCACTCCTCCTCTTTAAACTTTTCTCTTTATCTGTTTTGTTTTTTTGGGGGGGTGTCTTTTGAGACAGGGTCTCCCTGTAGCCCCAGCTAACCTGAACTCGTTATGTAGACCAGGCTGGCCTCGAACTCACAGAGATCCGCCTGCCTCTGCCTCCCAAGTGCTGGGATTAAAGACATGCACCACCACGCCTAGCTATCTGTTTTTTTTAAAAAACTCGTTACTTTAAAATTGATATAAAATATTAAGTCTACTAATACACAAGCCCATTTTTATCCTTTTGGCAGATTTTACTTGTTAAAATATTTCTAAAATGGACACTTACTCAACCCTGGAGGTACAGTTAGCCAGTACCAAAATGGATATGATGTTGCTTGAGTATTAGAAAAAGTAATAATACAGGCAGGACAAAAAAAAACATGGCTTCCTGTCAACTCTGAGCCCTTTAGAATGAGATCTTGGGTGTTGTATTTTATCTTGAATGATACCAACTTCAAGCACAAAGAAGAAGTAGGATCATATAGATAAGAAAAAATTTTTTTCACTTAAGCGTGTGTGTGTGTGTGTGTGTGTGTGTGTGTGTGTGTGTGTGTAGGAAATGAAAGTAGACAGGGTGAGGAAAGGGAGTTCTAAAGGGAAGCAAGAGAGGGCAAAGGATAACAATAGATATGTATGAAGATGTCACAGTGAAGTCTATTACTTTGTGTGCTAACTTTAAAATTTTGAAGAGAAAATATTTAATTAAAATACTAGAAAAAAGAAAAAACAAATGGGTTAATTTATGGTAGAAAATACCGGACATGTATTCACTGAATTAATATATATATATGTCAAATATGTGTCATTGGGAAAAATAAGAGACATGTTTCATTTTTATTTAAATTAGAGAAGGCCTCAGTATAATTAGTGGCAGAATAGAAAGAGCCGT